AATTTCAGCAAATCACTATAGGTGAATATGGCAGCATGGTTAATATTCATGAGCCCAACAACTTACTATTAGATATTAGTGAGCCTACCTGAGGGAATACATGAGCATAAAGATAAGTCGTTGATGATTATTGTAAGCTAATGTTGTTAAATAAAACATTTTTACGTTTGAATAACATTTAGTGTGTTCTCAATCTTGAAGCTCATTATTGTTAGTCTGTTGTTCACAGAAACTCTCAATGACTAATAATGTCTCAGCAAACCCAATATACACGGCTGCAACAATGTTTTAGTTCTACTTATTGAAGTTATGTTATAAAAAATGCTTGATTGACTGACATTTATTAAATATGATTGTATCTTCATGAGTAGCAATTTAAAACCACAGCCGTATTGTGAAGAGAGGCTGATGAGATGTAAAATTAATTCCCAAAATACGTTTTCAGATCCTTCATAAACGGCTGCATTAATAGATACATTAGTGACCATACAAATGCAAATGACTTGAGTTTACAGTTTGACGTTCACGGATGCGTTTAAACCCTTCGTCGACGCTCACGAGCGCAGCAGCACTTTTGAGTCTTGTTTTATGTGCTGCTGCTGTTCAGAATTATGAATTATTAACTGTTAAACAAACCGTTTAATGATGGTGAGATCTGCTTTGTGTGTTTATAGTTGCCTAAACACCGTCCTACTGTGAGAGTAAGAGCTCGTTCTCTATTTTACATCATGTTCAAGTAGCAATGCTAAGCAAATTTATACATAAATGTATACTAAACAAATATGTGGGTGGATTTTGATGTGAGAGACAACAGGAGATGCACTTTTTCACTGGATGAAGTGTTATTATGGATTATGGACTCATATTTTAGCCAGAAGCAACTGTTTAAAGTAAAAAAAAAAACATCTTAATGATGGATTTGTTTCAGCTTCTGTCTTCTCCAGATGTTAACTGATGGACTGGAGTGCTGTGGATTACTTGTGGATTATTGTGATGTTTTTATCAGCTGTTTGGACTCTCATTCTGACGGCACCCATTCACTGCAGAGCATCCATTGCTGAGACACTGATGCAATGCTACATTTCTACAAATCTGATGAAGAAACAAACTCATCTTGGATGGCCTGCGAATGAATAAATGCTCAGCAAATTTCTTTTTTTTTTTCCCTTTAAGGAAACAATATTTAGCCACAAATATGTGTTTTTGGAGCTTGTTTTCTTAATTTCTTTTACTAGCTAAGTAGATTTTAAATAGTTTGCTTATGTTTCTGTGTTTGGATGAAGCCAATTTCTCGTTTTCATTGTTTCTTGATTTTTTTTTAAATGCAGGCTGTGCAGTTGCTAGGATGTTAAGTTTAGACTAGTCAGTTTGATTGGTTTGAAATGTAGCAGCTCATTTCTCGTCAGTATGCAACTTGATTGACATTGTTTTGCTATCAGAGATTGGAGGTTAACCGGGCTGCTGCGGTTTGGCACGCGCCGGCTGGTTTCTGTCTGACGGGTCATTGTTGAATGGACTTTAATGGAGAATCAGTGTTTAACAGGATGTGATGTTTTAAAGATGAACACGACCTTCCTTGAGCCCAGTGTGATGATGCTGAATGAGAGACGGACACACAGACCATCTGCTGCTTTATCAGTGCTGTCTGTCTGCCAGGACCACACACACACACACACACACACAAACACACACACACACTCTGTAAAAAAGGGCATTACGGGTCGGTCTGGGATCTAAATGCACAACATTAAAGCTGGATAAAACAGAGAGCATGTATTAAAAGCACAATATGAATTTTCTACTGCTGTCAATCTGATTGGATACACACACACACGCACATGCATTTACTTCTTATTTTTTCTCGGTACGTCTTTGGAAAAGTGCAATATGAGTCGAGCCGGTGTCTATATGCACAGCATGAGAGCGCATGCAATATGTATTTTAAAATTAGAACTTGTATTAAAAACACAATATGGGTTTTCTGCCTTTAATAACTATCAGATTGATCAGCCACACACACACACACTCTCTCTCTCTCTCTCTCTCTCTCTCTCTCTCTCTCTCTCTCTCTCTCTCTCTCTCTCTCTCTCTCTCTCTCTCTCTCTCTCTCTCTCTCTCTCTCTCTCTCTCTCTCTCTCTCTCTCTCTCTCTCTCTCTCTCTCTCTCTCTCTCTCTCTCTCTCTCTCTCTCTCTCTCTCTCTCTCTCTCTCTCTCTCTCTCTCTCTCTCTCTCTCTCTCTCTCTCTCTCTCTCTCTCTCTCTCTCTCTCTCTCTCTCTCTCTCTCTCTCTCTCTCTCTCTCTCTCTCTCTCTCTCTCTCTCTCTCTCTCTCTCTCTCTCTCTCTCTCTCTCTCTCTCTCTCTCTCTCTCTCTCTCTCTCTCTCTCTCTCTCTCTCTCTCTCTCTCTCTCTCTCTCTCTCTCTCTCTCTCTCTCTCTCTCTCTCTCTCTCTCTCTCTCTCTCTCTCTCTCTCTCACTCTCTCTCTCACACAGACGAGTTGTAATGCAGTCTGGAAGTCATTCGTATGTATGAGAATGACCATCTAGACGAGTTAGAGCAGAATGTGAAACAGATATATTTCAGGAGTTGTTGGAGTTTCTGGATTCTTCTTCTTCTCTGCTGCTGTGTGAGATGATGATGATGATGATGATGATTCAGTCCTGTATGTCCGAGCTCACTGAACACTGTGCTGCTGAAAATGTGAGGGTGAAGCTGTCAGGAGAACTGTCAGAAGAGCGTATATACAGCCTGTTTTTAGAGCCGTTAAGATGTCTTGTGTTGTCATATTATTTTCGTGACACTGACACACTTTTCCACTGCTACAGTATGTGAAAAACACACTCTTGTAAGTGTAATATGAAAATATAATGGAAAGAAAATAAAATAATGAGCAGAATGTGCAAATTATTAATTAATTGATTAATAATAAAACATTATTATTATTATTATTATTATTATTATTATTATTAATAGTTGTGAATAGGTCTTGATGATCTGCATTAGGGAAATTGTATCTCTCTTTTGTTTTCTCTGTTTTTTTCTGCTTTAGTTATTCTCTATATTTAGCGGCTCATAAAGCAGACATTTCTATTTAAATCACCTCACGTGCATCGTGTCGGATCAAGCTCTCAGTTTTACATTTGTTTCTAATGTTCTGCTAATATGTTTACCTCCCGAATCCTTTAAACGGCTCATCTGCATCACAAATCTCCTCGCAATCCGTATGCATTCATCTCATCTGCATAGACACATAGAGCACTCGAAAATGAGACGTTTAAATTAAGTGTGAAGCTGCGATCAGCACCAAATGTTTTCTGTATGAATACGCTTTGTGTGATTGCTGATGATTCATGGAGAGAACTGGCTCTGAGCTCAGGCAGCCTGACCCGGGATCAGTGTTTAATCTGCTGGCGTTCCCGCCGGGCTTTGTGAGGATCTGAGGTCAGGTGCTGCTAAAGCTGCTCGAGGGAGGATCGAACCTGTGTAAGCCGAGAGACAGACCGGTTCAGTTCGGCCTGAGCCGGTTCAGAGCTGCCACGGATTACAGAGACATTTCAGAGCTCATACCCGCAGAGCAACAGTAGACAAGTGTGTGTGTGTGTGTGTGTGTGTGTGTGTGTGTGTAGTGTGTGTGTGTGTGGCTCAAACTCCTCCAAACCATCGAAACACACTTCAGTCTGTGGAATTATTTCAAGCAAGCAGCACTGTCATCAGTTACTCAAAGCTGTAACATTATCATTAAAAGTGTGCAAATATTATATAAATGTGTGCATTTATGATGCATAAAATGCTGGAATTTTAACCGAAGGCCTGCTTTTTTGTTTTTGTTTTTTCTTCATAAAATCTTCAAGATTAATATATAGTATTATACTAAACTTAAACAAAAAACGTCAAACAAATATAACTTAACTAATATAATATAATATAATATAATATAATATAATATATAAGAACACTTTATTAAAATAAATCTGAAATATCAATACAATCAATACAAATTATTAAAAATAATCAGTTAATTGCCAAGGTAGCTGTAACACCGCCTCTGCTAGGAAGACACAGTCACGATGAAGATTATATGAACAAATCCTTTTAGTGCTAATCCACAAGATGAAGAGGGTCTAACACACTGGGTAACATTCAACAATAACCGACAAACTGAGACTGAACAGACAGGAGCTTAAATGCACAGGCAAATGAAGATGATTAATAAGACACAGGTGACTCAAAAGACACGATCAAGGGGGAACAGAAACTAGGTCACGGAGCACATGAGGGAAGACAACATAACAAAAGGGTCCATAAGTGTGACAGCAGCATTTCACATTTTCATTAGTTAAGTTAAAGCACTAAAATATTATGTATATATAATGTGTATGTGTATATATATATATATATATATATATATATAGTGTGTGTGTGTGTATGTGTATGTATGCATGTATAGTATGTGAGCACATGAGGGAAGACAACATAACAAAAGGGTCCATAAGTGTGACAGCAGCATTTCACATTTTCATTAGTTAAGTTAAAGCACTAAAATATTATGTATATATAATGTGTATGTGTATATATATATATATATATATATATATATATAGTGTGTGTGTGTATGTGTATGTGTATGTATGCATGTATAGTATGTATGTATTTATTTATTCATTTATTCATCCATCCACCCATCCCCCAAATACTGAAAGGAAGTGGGTTTCAGTAGTTGTTGCCGTAGTATCAAAAGTGGAGAACCGTTAAGTTTTTCAGATTTTGGTACTGGGTTTTGGTATCATGACAGAATGAATTGGTTCTCACATTTTTGGCCGTCTGTTGCAACAAGGTGTGTTTAAAACTGCATAACTCTGACTGAGATTTAAGAGGTGCAGATTTTCAGTGAATAATGCCTAAAATTTAAGCATGAAGTTTCAACAAAACATCTTTTGTGTGCGGAAAGAGGCATACAGTGGAAAAAAGGCAGTTTTTGTGTCTGGTTGATCTGTTCTTTCAGCATCAGCGCTGTTTGACATCAGTCCAGCATGAATCCTCCGCCTGTACGTTTATCTTCTTGTTTCTCTTTCATACTCTATTGATCAGGATCCGCGGGGTCAGCACTGATCGGCGGTCTCTGCTGTTTCATCTCTTCCTCTTCAGTGTTTGAGTCTAACGTGAAGTTTGCCGGCTTTATGAGATCGCTGGCCGCACATGTTTAGGCTTGGGCTGATTAGCATTCCCGCGGTGCTTTTGGCCCGTAGCGTTTTAAATGTTTAATTGGCGGTGCTGCTGTTGAGTCGAGTGATGAGGTTTTGATGATGGAGGTTAAACATTATTAAAAGCTGAACGATCGGCCACAGTTGTAGATCTGTGTTTCTTACGCCGCTCACTGATCTCAACAACTTGATATCCAGCATCGCAGAAACCAGAGCCACGTGTTAAATGACTCTGAGTGAGTGAGTGTGTGTGTGTGTGTGTGTGTGTGTGAGTGAGTGAGTGAGTGAGTGTGTGTGTGTGTGTGTGTGTGTGTG